GCACCGTTACACAAATTAATTCCAGCACCGGTTGTATCTGTAACACTATCCTTTTTCCTCTTTCCCTATTTTAATAAAAATACGCGCTTTCGCAAATCACTTAACTCTCCTCGACTTTCAGTACACAATGGAGGAAGTCTCCGACAAGCGTGAGACGAGAATTATGACGCATGAGATAGGTATAATTATCATAACCACATCGGCTTTTGCAGTGAATCGAAATTCTCCTGCGTGCCAAACTGCCTACCCATCTCAACCTACCCATCTATTTAGTAGCCCATTTAGCATGAGTAATACGCAGCATTTATATAATTCCGATTCGCGTCAGAATTTGTCACGCGGTGTTATCCAATAATATAAAAATGAATAATGAAACAAATGAACAATTTCGCGCAAATAACATATCAAATAACGCAATTGTAATAATTGCATTTGTCATAAAGTTAACATTATTAATTAATTATATACTAAGTTATTAGAAATTAACTAAATTAAAATTACTAAATTAAAATTAATTAAAAATAATTACAGAATTAGCAACTACAACTACTGGGAAACTTTTTAATTAAAACTTTTTAATTAAATTTAATTTTTATATAATGTATATGCGTTGCGTTGGAAAAATTTCGGAAAACGCTATGAAAATATTATTCGATACGTTAATTTTTAGGTGTTACAATCAGTAATTATTTTCGCAGATATTGTTGCTCGGTCTGACGACGATGGCGTGCGCTCAGTTCAGCAGATTCACAACTCCGTATCCACAACCGACGCAATATTACAATCCCAATTACTACAACCGACCTTACTATGCCATACTGCGACAAACGCAAGACTCTTCGCCGGATGGATCCTACTCTTACAGGTGAGGCCAGAGGTGTACGTACGTTTCGTCGAGAGAAACAATCTCGACACGCTCGAGGAATCACAGATGCCCTCGAACGTATGAAAACACGCTCGCGCACCATTCGGTCGATGCAATCGTAAAGTTAACACGCTCGGCGTGACCGTTTTTTTTGTTCTTTTTCTCCTTCCATCACTGCGTGTTCACTGCGTGTTCATCGAGGAGTGATTAATAAGCAGGAAGGAAGTGCAGTTAATGCACCGGAAACACACGAAAGTGATGACGCGTCTTAGCGATTAAAATTTATATATTATTTCTCAATAAACGTTTGTAGGGTGTTTTATGCTCTTTGTGTTTTATTTCATAGGTAATAATGGCATATTTTATATATATATATATATTATTATCTCTGAAATATATATAATATTTCACATAAATGCTCATATATATAAAATTTAATTAGAAAATAAATTTGAAAATACATTAAATTAGAAAATTAAATTAGAAAATAAATTTTGATGTATAAAGAGACGGAAAACACTTAATTTCAAAAATTTATAATGTTGTAAAGGTAACATGCAGATGATCGAGAAAATATAATTGAAAAGATGTAAGATGCATCGAATCGGTTTCTTCATCAATATATTCAGCATATCTATATAAGTATTATTTAGCAATTTGTTTCAATCAGATGTCAATATTCTTTTCTATTCAAAAAAGGAACTTAAATGTTTGTAATTATGTCGATCGTGCTCGCGCAACATTCATTAGTCAGACTTGCGATTATTTTTATTGTCCGCTCACTTATTAAGCAATTCTCGAATCTGTCGACGAAAACAGTACTCGAATGAGAGAGAGAAAATTTGTATCATGTGAAAGGGCTAATAGTCTTACACGGACTTACTTGAAAGTGTTTCTGAGTAATGGTACGCTCTATTAACAGTAATCAGATATTCGAAAATATTTTCAAATCCATATGGGATAATTACATGTATGTACATTGCAAATTCGTGATTAATATATTAATATTTTCATGTATAAATTGATATAACGTAACGAAGAATTTTTATTGATTTAATTCTTTGTCGATTCAAGAATGAAGTGGAACTGTATTTTTTGTCACATTCTATCATAAATAGTATATAAAATAAATTTTTATAATCGCCTACATATATATTACATGTATATTTCAATTTGTAAGACAATAACAGAAATCGTACGAAAAAAATAGTTTAATAGTTTGGGTGTACTAAAATTCTGTTTCACAATTGAATCAAAAATTTCAATTAAAATTATCAGAATTCAATTTAAACTAACAAGGTTTTTAGTTTATTTAAAAAGAATTCCGGTAATTTCGATCGAAAATTCTGACTCGCTCATTTTGAAACAAAATTTTGCACAGGCAACCAAACTATTTTTTCCATGTAACTATTTTTTCCATTTTTTCCATTTCAAAAAGTCGAAATAGGCCTTTTTCTTAACTAAATTTCTTGCATGGTTTATTTTTTATTTCATTACGTCAATGAAGGAAAGAAGAAAGATAAACCGTACAAGAAAATTAGCTAAAAAGAACAGATCAAGATAGAGAAACTAAATAGAATACTAAATAGAAGAAAAATATTAGATTTATTAGAATAAAAAACAGTACTAAAATATTAAAGATGTGACAAATATGATAATATCACCATGTGACAAATTTATTGAAATTAACATGACATAATTGCAAAATTTTAATGATATAAGAACATTGAATGTTTACATATTTATTTAAATTGACAATTAAGACGAAGCGAAAGATAATTAATCATTGCGTTATAATGACAATTATTATAGAGCAATGATTACAACATATTCAGGCTTACAAAATTCTACTCGAAATATAGGCATCAATAATTACTATGTTAATCTTGTAACACGCACACATTCTCCAGCTGAAATATCATCTTAAATTATCGTATAATTATTGGACTATATAACACTGATAATTATGCAAAATTCTACATGAGACTTTGTAAGAAAAGTCGACTATCGCAAAAAGATGTCGAAATATTTTCATTTCACTTTCTAATACAGATCGCATGATTCGCTATAATTAGTCAAACGCATCAAGATTGCAGGTTGGTGATTATCAAATTATCTGTTAGATGATGCGATCATCTCGCGTTGTCCTACAATATAGTGATTTTTATATCTAAATCTACACGGCGCATCTTGCATGAAATTAACGGCCGCAACAATCGACTTTGAAACTAAAAACCTGCGATTATCGTTACGACATACATTTCGCATTATCAATCGCATCACTCGTTTCTGGACGACCTAATATTTCATTTCGCATAATCCCTCACAAATAGTTTCTTAATGAGCCGACATACATACCTCTAAGATAATAATCAATTATCTTTCGACACTTTCTAATTCTTTGGGGCTTCGTACGACTCTCTTGTAGGTAGATGTAAGTCGTACACGTTCGCGATAATAGTTCGTGCCGGGGTCACAGACCATTTACGAGCGGTCAGTCATCAAAATCACTATGGTTCTCCCGGCGTCGATTTCGTCCGACTTGAAACGATCAGCCAGCATCGTTTTAATCGAAATCGCAAGAACCGTGAACCCGTCTCGCGCAGGATGGCGCGATGGAACGGTGCATAATTAGCTTTGATGTTAATCGTACACGCGCCACTCGGCTGCGCAGCTCGCAATAATTGCGCAATTGAACAATTACAATCGACCTACCTCTGCTTGCTTACCTGCCTACCTACGCGTTTACCTTCCTCACCCATCCTCGCTACCCTGGAGTTCGCTAAGTCTAACTCGGGCCCCTGTGACACCTGTCTCTGGGATGTTGAGAGTCTTGGCTTAGACTCCACCCAACATCTCGAAGGTGGTATCACTTTTCTCTAACTGGTGTAACTCAATGAAAGCATGGCGGGAAATAAACGAAGTACAGTAGAGAATATGTCAATCGTAAAACAATAATAAAACAATTGTCATTTTAAATTAACAATTTATAATAATGGATTTAATCGAAATTATTTAGATAGAAGCATAAAAAAAATTCTCACGATCTAACACATTAAATTTTATTAAGGGCGAAGAAGCAATTCTAGCAATTCTCAATCTATAATTTTGAAAAATAAATGAGATTTGCCTGCAAATCTCATTTATAATTCTATCAATCAAAAGTTTTATACATTTATATATTATTATATACTATTTATTTGATAATACAATCATACAATCAATATACATTTATCATATGTTATTTATTTATTTAATTAATTAAATATCTTTTTTCCTTTTGTTTTAAAAAAAATTTCTCACTCAATATATATCCGAACGATCTACTTCCATTGCAGTTACGACACGGAAAACGGCATTTCCGTAGCAGAGCAGGGTTACCCAAGAAACGTTGGACCTAACCAAATCGAGACGGTCAGAGGTCAATATAGTTACACAGCTCCGGACGGTACGCCGATCTTGGTTACTTACACAGCCGACGAAAATGGCTTTCTGGCGAGTGGCGCTCACCTGCCGACACCACCGCCGATACCGAAGGCGATACAACGTGCTTTGGAACACAACGCGGCTCATCCTGAAGAGGAGGAGCCCTACAGGAGATATTAGAAATATCTATGCTAGAACTGCTCCCAACGCCTCGATATAGCGTATTGTGAAACAACAATCAATTATCGTATTTTTCGGAATATATACGCATGACATAGACTTCTGTCTATGTTACCCGTATCTATGAAAGATCCCTTCGAAATTTCGACGGTTCATTCTTGTTGATTATTAATTAACAGAAATAAATTATTAAGGCAGAAAATTATTGAGCATTTTTCTAAGCATATCTAAAAGTCGAGAGAGTTGCGCTTATCGATGATTTATTTATTCCATGATTGTTATATCGATAAATAGCTTGTCGAGCAGTACTAGTATTTATTTTGAGCGTGCAATATGAGGCACGATTAGGCGAGATAACGGGACGTGAAGTTGATGAGTAGAAGTGAAAATGATAATAAGAGATAATATAAATGAATTTTTTTCATTTTTTTGTTAATAAATAAATAAATAAGCTTACTTTTTATTTTTAATGATCGCAGACTCTTGACCAATAAATGTGAGATGTGAAAGAGATCATTTTTACGTAATTTGTCGTTTTATAGAAATTTATTTTCTTTTGGCTTGTTAATTTCTCTCATTTGCTCGCAAATGCAAAGAGCATGTAATTTTATTAATTTTTTTATTTTATTCTTTTTATTTGAGATGTACCGATATAACGTCGTTGTTGTTGAAACACCACTCATTTTGTGTTGATACTTAAGAAATCGCGATACGATGTAACAGAAGAAAAGTCGTTCTGGAGATGTTGTAACTTATGTATATGATCGGTAATACCGCACAACCATCAAAGTTCGAGATTCAAAATAAAATGTTGAACAAAATTATTATACATTACATACATATGTTACACGCAGCATGCGGCTGAGCGAAGTTCAGCATTATTATATAAGACGACATGATAATATCTTAAATATGAATTACACAAGACCACCTTACCTTACTGAAAGGAGATTAATATATTATAAGAGTTTAGTGCCGAGTGGTGCAATTTGCAATCACATTTCTCTACGGTAATAAGACTTTATTTAAAAGGATACATTTATAATAGATCTATAAAAAGATATTAATTAAGGTGCATTAAATTAAGGTGCATAAGTAAGTGCTGTAATTAACTGGAATTTGCATTCGTCCTTAAGGATTTCGCCTAAACGTGTCTTAAACCCTAAATAGTATAAACCCATGTGAAAGTACAGAAATTGAAAGAACTCTTGTGCACGTTAGAATAACATGCATCAAGTATAAAAATTAAGTATAAAAATTAATTAATTTTGTCTTTTTATAAAATTTTTGTAAAATTTTCGAGTGAAACGATAATCCTATATATAATAAATTGTGAAAGAGTTAAGACTCTGCTAAAGTTATACTGTTATACTGTTTAGGGTTAACCGATTAATTTATGATATTTCATCCCTCTGGAAGATCTGTTGATTACGGAGTATACTGCTTTACTTTGATCCTAACACAAAGAGATTACTTTCAATTGACGCGATCGAGGCGTCCTGCGATCACCGATCTGTCTCTTCCATATTCTTCGCTTGATGGGAAATGGCGGAGGCAATGTTGGGGACCAGATACGGATGCTTGATGCGACAATACGTCATATCATAATTGTACTGTAATGTATCATGCTACGTCTATCTTATTAAATCGTTTAATTGTGCATGCTTCTCTACGTATTTTGATAATCATGTGCCTATAATTGTAATAACGCGTCAGCGAAGTTATTAAGAATTTGTTTTCGTTCTAGTGCCTTTAATGACTTTTAACAAACTGGGTTACAATAATAAATAAATTATTTTAATATGCAAAATAAACTAATGTTTTGTTCAGCAATACCATTAATTTGTATAATAAAAAACGACCGCTAAAAGTTATCCACTATTCGTTGTTAGCGGATATGATAAATGTTAAACTCGCAGCATTATATTTCAAAAATATTTGCTATTTTTGTAATGGCATGGATTCAAGACAACATTGCGATGTTAGGATAAATTACAAATCGCCATGTGTTCGATAGATCGCTCGATGATTTTTCAGGATTACGCGCGAAGTCAATGAAGTCACATTGGTTTGTTTACATAAGGATGTTGTACGACCTGACATCGTAATCGCGATTGCTTAATATATTACATCGTATGGGGGGAGGGAGGAAAGGATGGTACTTCTCAAGTCTCGTTTTGGGATTTGATATCTTTCTCAATTTTTTCGTCACGCACACACACACACACACACACACACGCGCGCGCGCGCGCGCGCGCGCAAAAACTTCTCGAAGAAAAATCTTTAACGCCATGCAACGTCTACTTTTTCGTCTCGGCGATAACCATTTTTGATTAATGATTGTATATAAGCGGCACGCGATATCACCACTCGATCATGTGAGAATCCCAACAGTTCATTATAGACCCAGTGTGAAACGATATAATAACACGATGAAATAATAATAACAAACAAAGCGAACGAGCCTAAATTGTTTTATCGAAAATGATGACGTGTCGTTATGACTGTCTATTTCTCAAGAAAACCTAGACAAATATACATAAACAATATAAAAAGTAACTTTCTATTTAGAAAGATGTTCGTGTTAGAATATCGTAATCTCGTACATTTTTAGATTATAACAAATTCTACAATTGAAAGATTGAATTTATGCAATTGTCTGATCATTGTTGGATTATACGTCAGCAGACATAAAGCATCTTCTCAGAGAGTTCTTGTTTCAGAAGTCCTCTGAGATTACGTCTATCCTATTCAAAGTATCATGTCACTTTATTCTTAGATAAATGATAATAATCTTATATTAGTAATCTTTGTATGCGTCGATGTTTTTTTCGCGTTCGACCGTTGACTTATTTATCGGCTGTCGGGCTTCGGCGATCGGCGCATCGTTTGAGCGCGTCTACCTCGCAAAAGGATGTTGGCTCTAACAACAGCTAATTAAAACAAATTCCCGCTTCGTTCGGCAATGCTCACGTCGATAAATAGCCATTTACCGAGGTTTACTAGGCGATTATGTTACCTCGGCGTGGGTTTTAATCGCCGCGCGCACGAGCACGAGCGCGAAATTTTAGGCGGACCGACCGGCCATGGAAATGCCATCCGGATTAATGTTAATGGTAATCGTAATATCATGTTAAAGGTGAGTCAGTGAAAGCAAATCATCGGTCTCCTGTCCATTGCACAACACACGAGCGAGTGAGCGAGCAAGCGAGTGAGCGAGCGCATCTCTCAGGAGTGCTCGTCGGCGTCCATCCGCGAGATGGAAATGATGAAGTATCGAATTTTAGTGCTTCTCCGAAACTTTCTATGGCCGAAGTAGGGCCTCGGGTATATGAAACAGGTGGATCATAAATCGATTGCCATCGCGAGAGATGCAGAAGCGTGGAGCCTTTGGCGTATATTTCAGACATTCATCAAATTTTATTGCTCGCGCGACCGCATCGCGCGATAATTGCCGATAATTAGCTCTCACGGTTGCACGACATATATATTTTAATTTTAGACCTCCCGCATTCACAATACGAGCGATTTATCGAAATGCAAATTGCATCAGCAAATCGAACGGAGTAGTTGCTCCGAAAGGTCAGGTCTCGATTTCGTTTCTGAAATTAATTGACGCTAATTGAAATACCGGTTAAAACCGGGATGAATATCGCTGAATATTCTTGCCGATCGCTAGACATAAATGATCCATGAATTTGGCAACCTCGTTGTAATTTACGAAGCCGATATCGAATTACGTGATATTGTGGATGTAAATTGTGGCTCACGCGTCGCGCGAGCACTGAAAGGTCATTTGAACCGTTTAATACATAAACTAGGACGAAAATGAAGTATTGTTGAAAATTATAATCGGCAGTTGACAGTTAGTCATTATCAACTGACAGTTATTAATGGTGATAGTTAACTATCGCAGTTATAATAGTCAAATTTGTTTATGCGTTCTGAGAAGCGAAGTGCATTGTACACGCGTGAATAAAATTTTACACTTGTTAAACTCTTTGAGAGTATTTCAAGAAAAATGTGACAAAGTTAAAAATCTTATTATGTTTAACATCAAATGAAATTAAATGTTCCAGAGTGAGACTTCATCATTATTTCTGGTCGTTGAATGTAATTGTAACAATTGCGAGTTAAAGTAAGGAATTAAAGGTCACGCACGTGCGTACGAGTGCGTTTGTCACACATGCTTATTTCTAAATATCAAAGTTAAAAGATTCCCGTTTTCTATGTTGCAATTCTCAGTCTTGCAAGCTGTCCTAAAGGAGGATACATTTAGATACATTTTGATTATAATTATATAATTATGCTTGCGCATCGTTATATAATTTATTCAAGAGTAAATGTTGTCATCGATTAATTATGCAAATCTCTGTAGACTTAATTAATAGATATTTAATTAACAAATATAAATGTAAGACCAGTGCGCCGTCTACTATGCCACGCTCGCTCATATATTTATAATATATACATATAATTTGACGCGTTGAAATATATATAATATATATATATATATATATATATATATATATTTATTATAAATTGTTATCATTTGTGCGTTTTCTTTTATTTTTAACAAGATCACTTATTTTACTCTAGTAACTTGAAAATCACTTTTAGACATTTATGATTATATAATACACCTTTTATATTATGTTATAAATTAACAAATAATTATAATATAGATTATTGTCCTCACATTATAAACCCGGCAAAATTTGGCAAGTAAATATGTGTGTATATGCAAGTCAAGTTGCGTGAGGTGTAAACCTCACTCGCTCGCTAACGAGGTTGTCGGGCGCCTCTGCGACGGAAAGATTCCGCGAAAAGAAGTGAATAATTACCGGGCGCCTGTAACTATCGCAAGAACACACGATGCACGAAATCGATATTTTGCATACAATCGTTATACAAGAGTTTTGGCATGAGTCTCGCACCAGCGCATATCGGTCAAGGAATCTTCTGGACCGGACGTATCCTGTCGCAAAAATCGCGATCGCACTGCTGTATGTCGCCGATCGTTCGTAGTCATAGTCCTTTTTACGCAAGGAAATTTGGCAATACATCGCTATTGTTCTGGTTCGCAACAGCGTTGACAAGTCACCCTCCTCTACGAATGACTTCTTGCTGATAGAAAAACAGAAAATCTTGTAAGAAGATAGGGATTTGACATGCTGTAACATACGCAGACAAATTGAATTTTGGATACTAATACGCATACTAATTAAATTATTTAGATAATGTTTATTAATAGAATCATTCCCACGTTGATTTCCCCTGATGTGTTTTGATTTACATATTAAAATTTTTTTAGTTCGATTTTCTCTACTTGTTAACCATAAAACTCTAAATGTTTGCTACATATTTTTCTTATATATTATTTTTTATTTCAAAACATTTTCATAATTATTTCCGTAGTGCTTCCATCAGTATCATTAATTAATGCTTAACTCATATATCATTCTTTTACAACGTATATTTTACATATTCTCTATCATAAATTTCTTTCTCTATAATTAAAGAATTTTTAAACAAAATATGGGGATAAAGAGTAAAAGAATAAAATTAAAAGAAATGTTATTAAATGTAATTGATTAAGAAAGTGTAAGTTAATTAAAGCTGTTGAATAAGAAACAGAAA